TGTGGTGTTTACACGAGGAATTAATCCTCCTGTAAGCTCCCGCGTAGGTTTTCCAAACACAGACATGTAAACTGTGGAGCAGTAGGAAAGGTCACAGCCAGAGCTTGCCCACCTCCTCCAGTGATAATGTCCATGGTGGGACTTTCTGCCCTGGGGAGAGGCAGCCTGGAGTGGGTGTGATGGGAGGAAAATTGGTAAGGAACTGGCACCCACTGTGGGGGCTCCCCTGCGTCAGTGGGGAGCAGAACAGGTGAGCTGTAGGGATTTGTCCTGTCCCCTGCTTCAATGAGCTTTTGGGAATGGTGGGGAGCTCCTGAGCCAACAGCTCCTGTCTCGCCCCCTCTCCCAGCATGTGATGCGTCTTACGGTGAAGCCCTGTGTGCAGGCTCACAAATGCCCTTTTTGCATTTTGGTGCAAACTTCTGATTTTTGTAACAATTTGTGCAAATTGCCTGTGTGAAATGCAAATTCACCCTGGCAGTTTTGGGAGAAGCCAATGGACGGCGCTGGGTGAATGATGCTGAAATGTCCTCCATGGGAGCCAAGGCTCTGCTGGTGCTTACAGATGCTTGTCTTTAGCCAAGCCTTTCCTTGCCTGCCTTTTCCCTATGTAGGATTGGGGCACAAGAGGAGCAGGGTGGTAAGAAATGTGTCTGCAAATGCTTCTGGTCCAGCATTAATAGCCTTTTGCTGGTGTGTGTCACCTACAAGCAGAGCAGCACCTGTGCAGCAATCGGTGACCTCTCCCTAGGCAGTGAGAGCTGCTTGGGGAAGGGTGATTTTTGGGGGGAGGAGGTCAGCAAGTTGCTAACCCAAGGGGACGCTTCTGTGTTGCTGTGAGGAATGGAGAGGGAAAGTCAGGAAAAGTTTTCCAACCATTAGGACAAAGAGGTTTTGATGGTTTTGTAGTTACTCGGTGAATAAGCTGGTTAAAGGGACTATATAAAATGGAGGGGGCCGCTGGGAGAGCATCCGTAGTATTTTTCTTACTGTGATCTGAAAAGCTCACTAATATGTAGCACCAG